GGGAGCATGGCAGCACTCCCGCTGAGGGTTCAGATCCCATGTGGAGACTGGTTCCCGCTCACTGGCTGAGCGCGGTGCAGGTGCAACACCGAGGGTTGCGATCCCATTGCCGGTCCCTGGTACGGGCGTGACACCAAGGGTTGCGATCCTGTTACCGGTCAGTAAAAAAAGACAAAAAGGAAAAAAAAAAATCCATATGGCAAATTTTCTAAGATGCAGTTTTTATAGAGCATTCATTCTTACTATACAGGTAGTCCTTTTTAGAATTAGATAAATCAAGAATATGGAAGCCTTTCTACTGACTTTATTCAACAACAGTATGAATGGGGAGATTGTTTCTAAATTATACTTCTGTTGTTTATTGTTTTCAGCACTTTGATTTTCCTTTGCCAAGCCCTTTGAATGTTTTTGAAATGCTGGTGATACCAGAACAGGAATACCCTATGGTCTGTGTGGCTATTAGCAAGGGCACTGAATCAAATCAGGTAGTTCAGTTTGAGACAATCAATTTGAACTCTGCGTCTTCATGGTTTACAGAAATTGGTGCAGGTAAGTGTTTTTTACATTATGTCAGAATATTGACGCCTTTGCATCTAAAAGAAGCAAAACACTTAAGGTCATTCGGCATGGGCTCTTTTAAATATTCTTTCAGAACATAGTTTCCCAAGTAAGCACAGAGAAACGTGTATACATAGTTTATGATCTCTATTTGCCAGAGGTAGTTTGATACAAATTATTATACTAAGGAATATTTTAATGATTCTTGACATTTAAAGGTCTTAGTTGTGACCAGTTAATCTTTGGACTTGCTAAATAATTAAGTTTTCTAAGATACTCTTAAAATCTTATTAGCTTCTCAAGCAAAGAGAGTTACCTTTTTTCTATCCTGTTTTATTCTTTTTTGCCCCCCACTTAGAATCATTGCTTTTCAGACTTGAATAGAAGCTTCTTAGATGTGGCTTTCAAGCTTTTCTATTCAAATATCTCCTGTACTTTCTGGGTTGGTTAGCCCAGGATTTTATCAAACATACCTCACTGAAGGCTCTGAGAAGATTGGGAAGTTTATTCTCAAACATATTAATCAAGAATTCATTTTTCAAATATGCATAATATGTGAAATGGGGGGGGGAGTCTTTATTTTCCCTGTTTTCTGTTCGTTGTGCTAGTATATTATTTGGTCATTTGTAATCCCAGGTTTATTAAGCCATTTTTACATATGAAGTCAAGCAAGCTTTAGTTATGGCTATTTCATGACTGACCACTGTTATATTCTTTACCACCGTGTGAGAGAGTCTGTTAAAAATATTGTAAGTTTGGTGTTTCCTATTAAATATCTTGGCTTTTGATCATTTATATGCTAAATTACTAGAAAAAATTATACATCCCAGCTAGTGAAGCTAATATAGAACCCGCACTAATGTCACTTTCAGAATAACAATCAGCATGAATCAATGGTGTCCTAGTAAATGTTTAACAACAGGCTCTTGAGTGCAACCATTTGTTGTAGTTGCCTATTTCTGTGGTATAAATATGCCAGCTTCAACTACCAACCTGATGTCATGTGGCTCACAAAATTCCTGAAAATTTAACAACCCAGTACAAGCCAGCTCCTGCATGCATTGGACTATGAACATTCTCTTTATGGACCACCTCGTATTCTCTACCCTCCCACCCCCACCCGCACCCTGCCTTTCTTTTTAATTTATTGCTTAATGCTTTTGATTGAGTTGGATGCGTGCCCTCTTGCAATAGCTAACAGAAAGGTGCAAATGACATTGCTTTATTATCTTGAGATACAAGCAGCCCAAATAGAAATATGTTCCTGTTACATAATTACTGCTGAAAAGAAGGGTTATAGATCAAATTATTAAAAACCATTTTGGGATGATAGCCCAACTTTTTTGCTGATTAGTATACTATAAAGCAGGTCATTTCATACAGATATCTAATGTTTGTTTGCAACCACTTTCTTCAAGGCTAGACATTCTTTAAGTCCTCTTTTGAGTTTTGGAGTTTGAGTTTGGGGGTTTTTTTGAGGATTTTGTTGTTATTTATGTTGTTGTTTGTTTTTAGTGCCCGAGGTGTACTTTTGTATGCACTTTTGACATTGTCTAGGCTAAAATTCAAACAGTACCAAAATTACTACCTGAGGAAGGCCAGGACTCTGCCTGAGGGTACTCATTCAAATCACCCTCAAGCAGAGGTGAGGCAGCCTTTCTAGCCAGCATTTCATTTTCATAAGTGATTTGTTAATCCAACTCCCAGTTATACCTATTGTTGAACCAAGAGGCTATGCATTGAAGGGGCAATAGTTGTAACATTGAAATGAGTTCCTATTCCAAGACTTTTAGTATAGTCTGACTTGTTTTCACAGTATCCTTATCTCCATGGATGATGCTTAGTATATGGTCAGCACGCAATAAATATTTGTTGAATGAATCCATGGACATAGATTGACCGAGAAAAGTATTTTGTGGAGCATTGCCTAAGGGACAAATCGTTTAGTTTATGGATTCTGTAGATCTGGATTCTTCACTATATATGGCTTTGGAAGGTCCACAACCACCCCAAAATATTATATAAAATTTTGTTTATGTTTGAATGTGCAGTTTTCAAGGGAGAAGGCCAAATAGGCTTCCCAAAGATGGACAGTTAAGAATGACTTTTATAAATAATTTAATGTCTTTCCTTAGATTCAGCTAGACTATTCAAGCAGTTTGAGTGCTTAAAGTGAATTGTTTTACTAAAAATGTTTTGCAAAAATGTCATCATATCTATTAGCAGATGTTAAGAGGAAGCCCTGTGAATATCAGCAAAGTGATGAGAGTTGCTTCCTGCAAAGACATTGTTATGTTATTCAGTGTTCCCTTTGTAAAGGAACCCCCACCCACCTATAAACATACACAAATACCAGGAAAACTTTTCTGTGATCATAGTTTCATTAATCCTTGTGCTTTTTTGAATCTCTGGCTATTTTTATTTCAGGGATGCTTTAGTTTTACCTAATTGACCTCGTTTCCATCTTCCATTGGCTATGCAGAATACAGAGCAAAATCTAGCCATTGTATAGCATGTATTTCACTTTCCTCTGCATACTTAGCCTTTGCTTCATTTTATTTTTGTAACTCACCTTTCTAGAACTGACTGAGGTAGTAAATGTAATAGTGAGTTTTTCTCAGCTCAGTTAGCCATGTTAGGCATCACATGTGTTCTCCTAAATTGTCTTACACCCATTTTTTGAAAGATATTACAAAATAATTTTTGTGTTAAATTTCAAAGACTAGTTTTAAATCCCAGCCAAAGTCAGAATTTGTGTTTATTTTCTAAGCTGTAGTTTTTAAAAGCATATTATATAACCATCACCTTGTTTTTCCCCCCTAAGGCAGCCAACAGTTAGATTCCATTCATGTAACACAGTTGGAAAGAGATACCGTTTTAGTGTGTTTAGACAGTAAGTACTATTTTAAAGTTTATTTTGAGTACACTAGTCTTGATAAACAGTGTTTAATGAAATCGGTTCTATTAAACTATAATTCAAGATTTTCACTTTTCTTCCTTAAGTGGCATGGTTTTATTGAAGAACAACCTACTAAATTGGCTACAGCTATAGTAAATAATTGATCTGTTTGTCAGTACTATCCTCTGTGACTTTATTTTTATTTTATATTTGGCCTAATTGGTAACATATTAAAACTTTACCATAATGTTGAGGTAAAATGTGTAAAACTGTTCTATCTCATACCCATGAAAAATAGAAGGTTATACTAATGTGGTCATTTATATTACATGAACTTTTGGGGTCATGTCAGAGTACAATTCTAATGTACTTACACATTCAGCACCTCCACCTGCTAATAATGATTCTTTTGATGCAAGGAAGGGTGGTTCTGATAGAAGTGATAGAGCAGTAGAGAGGCAGAAAAAACTGTAGCAACAGGTATTATTTTGATTTTGCAAACAAAGCTTTGGTTCTTAAAACCCACGTTCTTTTTGTGCAGTGAATCCTACAAGGTGGAATTCACCCAGACTTCAGATTATATTTAACATTTAGCGATGTCTGCTATAATTGGTCCATTCTAATTTTTTAAAATTGTTGGACCTATCCATGTTTTCAGAGTTATTTTAAAGATGGCTTTACTACTGATTTTACCTGTTTTTCTCTCCTAATTTCTATTCTCTGAAGAGTTCTCTAGCAGATTTACCTTATATAATCATAAAGATCATCTACTATTAGAGATGAGTAAAACCTACAGTGTTTCATTTGCCATCATCACTTTGTTAGGAATTTTTGACTCTAAATACTGATAAGATTGGAGTGGTATTTGGTTACCCTTAAGTGAATTTGAAAAATTCTTTTTTTATCCAAACAAATAGAAAGTTTGTACTAATTAATCGTATACTCAGATAATCAGAATTTATCTTAATAATGCTGAACCTTTAATGTTAAATCCCTAAATACCTTCCTAGTCATCAAAGGAATATAAATTGTGCTTAATTTTCATTTTGGTGACTTACATATCTTATCACAGTTCTTAAAAAACATTTATTAACTAGGCCCTCCATTTTCCAATTAATTGAGATAAATAGAAGGCCAACCTTGGTCAGTTATACAATTTATAAGTCAGTTTTAGTGGGCAGCAGTGGAGATAGTCCTATTAACTCAAATCATGGTAGTAGATAGATGAGAAAGCAATGCAGAGAAATGGCATCTTCCAAGTCAGAGCTAAGATGGTGAAATTATTATGGGCAAAAGAGAAATAGAATTATTTATGTACACTCCCCATTCCAGAGTTTACTGCCCTTGAAGGTACTATTTCTTGCCCCTGTGTACCTTTGCAGAATAGAACTCATATAGTAAAGTTATGAATGACTACTGCAAATATTACTTTACCGTATGTTGTATAATATGTAAGGGAAAAAAATTAACTCTTATGGTTAAGTAGTTAGACACCAAGGTAGCCATTTTTAAAGAAGAAATTAAAAAATGAGAATGTAGGACTGGCTAGTTAGTTCAGTTGGTTAGAGAGTGGTGCTGATAACACCAAGGTCCAGGGTTCGATCCCTGTCTGGCCAGCCTCCAAAAAAGAATGTAAATATTCAATAGATATGGTATAAAAGAGAAAATAATAGCATAATTGCCTTTTACCAAAAGAAGAACTCTTATATTATCTTTTAAAGAATATATTAATGATTTTTCAATGGGCATGCTTAATTCAAGATAAATAGTTGACCTTTATTAAGAATATTATTTGATATTCATATAAAATCCATATATCAAGTTACACTTATTTTGGCAGATTTTCCCTTTCAGTCTTGTTTTTCATTTTTTTAAGAATTTGTAAAAATTGTAAATCTACAAGGAAAACTAAAATCAAGTAAGAAACTGGCCTCTGAGTTAAGTTTTGATTTTCGCATTGAATCTGTAGGTAAGTCTCCTTTTTTTGTTTAATAAGTTTGGAATAATTGGGTTTTTTGTTGTTGTTGCTCACTCTATACTTAAGGTTGTCTAGACCAGCACTGTCCATAGAAGTTTCCATAATGATAGAAATATTCTCTCTGTGCTCTTAAATACAGTAGCCATTAAACACATGTAGCTGTTAAACACCTGAAACACAGCTAGTGCTACATTTTAATTTTCATATTAAAATTTTTAATTAATTTATATTTTAATGTAAATAGTCACATGTGGCTAGTTGTTACCACATTGGACAGTGCACATCTAGACAATAATGCATCTTTTGTTGTTGTTTCCTGAATATTTAAAATTTATAATTATTTTAAAAATTTCTCTTCCATTATTCCCTTTGCTGCATCAAGTGAATTATACTTCTCTCAGTTCTTTTCAAATCATGAAGGTATTTGTGTTCTGTCTGTGATAACAGTATTACATATGTAATAATTCTTTGCATTTAAGGTTCTGGTTGGTGTGTGTTATTGCTTTTAGGTATGCATACATATGTACATATATATGTACATACGTATGTATGTATAGAGAGCAAGCGAGCTAGCTTCCCACAGAACTTGGAAACTTATATGCTATTTTAATTTCTTCCTTATCAATGAGTGTTTTACTCTGTAATACTCATTTATTTTATGAGGTAAATTATTACAGTTTATCATCGTTTGCATCTTCATTGATTGTATGTCAGTATTTTCCCCAAGAGTATTAGAACTTATGGAAAAACTATTGTGGTTGGAAACCTTTTGAATAATTTATGATATGATTTCACCAGAAATTAAAGAAAGGAGTTAAAATGAAGTTAGCAATTTTTATTTGGTCCATAAAAAAATGTAAATTTTTTTTTGTAATTGAATGTATATACTTTTAAAAATATGTTTTTTACTATTTAAAAAGTTTGGGGTTTTAAAAAATATTTTAATATGTGTTTTTCACCTGGAGATTTGCCCTATCACAAAATATGTGTGCCTTTGTGTAATACCTTACATAAAAATATTTTGCTTACGATTAGGAAATTTAATTTTTAATAGCAGAAAACCTAAACTTTCTATAGATGCCAGTACAAAAGAAATTTTGGACATTTCTTCTTTTACTACTTTATGTACTGGATATTATATGCCTGTTTCTAAAATATAATATTTTCTTTTCTTTTTTTTTTTTTTTGTCTTTTTCCGTGTCCGGCAACGGACTGCAACCCTCAGGGTCGCCCCCGCACCGGACCGGGGCCGGCAGCGGGATCGCAACCCTCGGTGCTGCCCCCAGGCCTCGCTCAGCCAGTGAGCGGGAACTGGTCCGCCTGTGGGACCCGAACCCTCGGCGGGAGCGCCGCCGCGCTTCCCAAGCGGCGCACTAGCGCAGTGCGCCACCGGGCCAGCCCCGAAAATATAATATTTTTTTTTTTTTTTCCTTGTCCGGCAACGGACTGCAACCCTCAGGGTCGCCCCCGCACCGGACCGGGGCCGGCAGCGGGATCGCAACCCTCGGTGCTGCCCCCAGGCCTCGCTCAGCCAGTGAGCGGGAACTGGTCCGCCTGTGGGACCCGAACCCTCGGCGGGAGCGCCGCCGCGCTTCCCAAGCGGCGCACTAGCGCAGTGCGCCACCGGGCCAGCCCCGAAAATATAATATTTTTTTTTTTTTTTCCTTGTCCGGCAACGGACTGCAACCCTCAGGGTCGCCCCCGCACCGGACCGGGGCCGGCAGCGGGATCGCAACCCTCGGTGCTGCCCCCAGGCCTCGCTCAGCCAGTGAGCGGGAACTGGTCCGCCTGTGGGACCCGAACCCTCGGCGGGAGCGCCGCCGCGCTTCCCAAGCGGCGCACTAGCGCAGTGCGCCACCGGGCCAGCCCCTAAAATATAATATTTTCAAGAGATTTTCTGACATATAGAGCCTTAGTTCTTCATTTTAATTGAAACACCAACTTTAAAATATAGGTCAAATTATGTAGGGAATTTTGTCACACAAATCTTTGTTCCTCCTAGTCTACCATCTTTTCTTACAAGTAAACCTTGGAATAACTAAAAGGATTTTCCTGGATAAAAGAGTCCCTGTAAATCACCTCTTAAACATAAAACCAGTAATTGTGTTTTTAATTTTTCATAGTTAAACATGTGTGATTTGTAATTGTCAGATATTTTTATTTTTATTGAGCTAGTTTCCAGAACATTCTTACATTAACATTTTTTCGGAATCAACATTCTAGCAAGAAATATAAATCATTTCCAGTCACTTTTCCCCATCACCTTTATTTATGTTTTTCTAATTCTATTTAATTATTTCTAATACTTTAATTATAATAGTTGGTCAAATACTAAGAATTTTATAAGAATTGACTTACAGATCATAAATATTTAATGTGTGGTTAAATATTGGAGTACAGGTCAGGTTTATTTTTAAAAATTAATTTTATAATAGGGAAAATGTGAATATAAATAAAAGATGCTTGCTTAATAACTACTTCTGAATATATGACAGTATTTAAATAACCATGTTTTTAATCCAAAAACCCATTTACGTATGTTTTTATGATTTTTTTCATGTAAGACAAAAGATAAAGCATGTGAAAGAGAAATTAATATGCTGATATCCAACTTATCAGAATTTAGCTCATATTTAAATGAATGCCTATTATATAGCTTTGAAAACTTGGATTACCCTGTCTCGATAAATTACTTAAATTTAGGCATGTCTTAGCCACAAAAATGTTGAGAAGTAATAGTCTAGACAGTGAAATTTTACACTAGGCACTTGAATAACCTTATATTATCATTTATTTAAAACAGGGAAATTTATAGTGAAATGCTGTGTTCTTTAGTTTTGTTTTGATTCTCCTTTGTCTTTTTTAGTATGTCTTCAAGACAGTGTGTTGGCTTTCTGGAAACATGGGATGCAGGGTAAAAGCTTCAAGTCAGATGAGGTAAGTTTTCTCAAATTACCTCCACTGACTCCCACTAATGATTTTAAATGTTGAAATGTTCATTTTATGCATTTCCTCTTTGAACCTTCATTACTATGTTTCGTGCCTTTAATAATATGAACTTGTAGAGCAAAAGAACCAGTATTTTCCTTTCAAGTATGTTCACTTTTGTATTGTATTTTAAAATTCTCAGTGTCCACAAAGAATTGCAAAACATAAGTTTACACAATTTCACTCCTCCAGTTTGTAATTTGTAAATATGTTTGCTAAGCTTGCTAAAAACTTTTTGAAATTTAGTAAGCGTTTTTCATGATCTGTAAATATGTAGCTTATTTTTTAATATTATATTTAAAATTCTAAATTAACTTGTATTGGATCACAGGACTAAGGAAAACCTAAAAATTAACTCATTTAGTAGATACTGAGTGCCAACCATGTCCAAAATACTATTATTTTAAATAATATTAAGCCTTGATATAATACCTAATATGTTCTGAGTACTTTACAAACATTAGCTCATTTAAGGCTCAAAATAATCCAGTGAGGGTAAAAAAATATTTATATTCCCATTTTTACAGGTACAGACTGGTTAAGTAACTCTCCATAACTAGTTAAATGGCAAAGCCTGGATTTGAAGGGTCTCTAAAATCACTTCCAGCTGAGATAATCAGTATACCTTTCATGCAGGAAATGAGGTTTGGATTCTCACCTTGAGGGATGAATACTAGTAGTTAATACTAACAGAGACATTAACCATTTGTTTGAGTACCTGTAGGATTTTTCTGCACTATGGCCTCATGAATTTGTGGACTTACCTTAAACCTCAAAATCATCTTCTATTTGAATTTAATTTTATCCATACTCGTATTTATATATAAATGAATATTTCTATCTCTTATATGAATGCAGAATTAAAATGCTTCCAGGAGAAAATGAAATAAATCAACTGTCTTTGCATATGTCAGTTTATCTAGTTACTGACCCATGTCACTAAATGTCACCAGGTCCCCTGCACTTGATGAAACTTACAGTCCTACATATTGCGATAAATTTAATTGTTCATAAATGCTGTTATCATTGTGTCATTCTGTGGTTAGAAATCTACAGAAGATACCTGTTTCTCACAGTATCAAATACAAATTCTGTTTCCTAACTATCTATATTGAACTCGTCTTGCTTACCTCTTTCTTTCTGCTTATATTATCATCCTTCAACTTGGGCCGAGCTGAAGTCTTAACGTCTTTCGTAAAGTAGTCCACAATGATTGGAACATCTCTGAACTTAATACTCAGAAAATCAGCTCCTCTTAGTATAGCATGTAATTTATTTTCTGATTCAAGTTTATTAATCCTGTCTTCCTAGCTAGACTGCAAACTCCTTGATACCAGACTATATTTCTTATTTATTTTATATCTATTCTGTCTTAAGTTTGGTTCTTCCAAAAGCATACCCTAAGACAAGGACTCAAGTGCAGGTAGTTTATTTGGGAGTAGATTACAGATGGAGCGAGAAATGTGAAATGGAGAGGGACAAAAAGCCAATAAAGAGCACATTAATATTAAGCTGGTTCCCACTGTGGACAACCAGGGCTTAATCCATGAGCAACTCAGAATTGACTCATTTGTAGGTGAGGAGACTGGAGTATTTATGCAGCAACTACTATCCCACGTTGGTTAAGGGTTGCCCCCACGGGTACCACTC